CAGTCTGGGGAAAATGGCAGCAAACACAAATCCTCCCGCAGGTCAGTGGCAATCCCTGTTCTGGGGTGGAACAGCAGCAAACACAAATCCTCCTGCAGGTCAGTGAGCAGTCCCTGTTCTGGGGGGGAACAGCAGCAAACACAAATCCTCCCGCAGGTCAGTGGGCACTCCCTGTTCTGGGATGTTATGAGAACCTGGTTCATCCCTGCTCCCTCTGCCCGAGAGCTGTGGGCAGGAGGAACCTCTGGGATGGCGAAAGATCTTTCCCCATCCCAGAGGTTTGGAGGGATTGAGCTGGCTCAGCCTCCCAGCAGAACTCCCATCTTAACAAAAGCACACACAAAGGAGGTGCAAGGCCATGACAGCAGCCTCAGCTTTTGGTCCTGCTGCTCCTGTGCACCAGGGCAGAGCTCACAGAATCAGTCAGGTTGGAAAAGACAGATCGAGTCCAGTCTGTGACCCAACACTGCCTTGTCACCCAGCCCATGGCACTGAGGGCCACATCCAGCCTTTCCTTAAACATCTCCATCACCTCCCTGGGCAGCCCATTCCAATGCACAGTCACTCCTGCTGTGAAGAACTTCCTTCTGCCTGCACTCAGAGATTGCTTCTTGAGCAGGAGGAGCGGAGCTCTTGCCCACAGCCTGATAGTGAGGGGGTGATGGTCTGCACCAAGGTGAAAGTTCTGGGGCAGAGCAGCATGTCCTGAAATCACAGCTTTTGTGCAGAAAATGGATTTGCAACAGATGATTTTCCTGGAAGAGCAGTCCCCAGCAGAGCAGCAGCCCTGCCCTCTGGGCTGGGGCAGGTCCTGTGCTCAGGTCCTGTGTCACTTCACATCCCATTAATGACTTGTTCTTGCTCTGTTTTCTTGATGTGTCACCTCCCTTCTTTTAGGGGAAGTTCCTGTCAGCTCTGGAGGTAATTACCCTTATTTTGAAGCTGGTATCAGAAAAACTGCTATGTAGTGACATATCCTTAAGGAGATGAGTAAGTTTTCAAGGAAGGACTGATTGCTGAAGGGTTGGAAGCAAAATGATAGGAAGAAGGACGAAGACCATAATAAAAATTTAATGCAGAGCAACTGGAAGCTGAGCTGGTGTCAGACAAACAAGCCATTGGCTTTAGGGTTATTTCTCAGCTTCCTCTCCTCAGAATTGAAACCTTGCAGTAGATACCTCACTGTAGGAATCCCAGCCCATGGTCCCCTCCAGCCCAAACCTTCTGGTATTCCCTGCTTGAGGCACACTGAGGTTTGAGGCTGTTTGAGGCACTGCAGATGAAAGGGTTTCATTCACTTCCAGCTTCCTGCACACTGAGCAGTCTGCAGGAAATCACTGACGCTGCTTTCAAAGGACAGTGCCAGTGTCCCAGCACAAACCACTGACACGTGGGCCACGAGGTGGCTGAAGGTGCTTTGTGGAGAGGCAGCAGCCTTTTATTTTTCCCTATTTTTCTTGCCTTTAATGGCTGTGAAACCATTTATTAAACCAGCCAGAAAATTACTTGAAGCCAGGAGCTTTTCAGCCAGGTTCAGCCAGTTGAGTGTCTGCTGCTGAACTGGAATTCCAGCTGTGCTAACAATTGGTCTGCACACCTGATGCTGTCCCTGCTCATGGGGCTGTGCCTGCACAGTCACAGTTTATCCTGGGATAAATTTATCTGCTTGTTCCTGTTCTCTGGGCTGTGCTTTAACTCTGCCACTTTCACACCACAGTCAGCTCCTGTGGTTTGAACCTGTGAGAGAAGCAGCAGAAAATCTCCTCCTGTGAGAGGCCAAACCAGCTCTGCCCTTTTCCTGGTGGGAGCAGAGCTGCTCTGGGGCTGTGTTGGCTGCATGGAGCAGCTGGCAGGGCACAGGCTCAGGCCATGCACAGCCTGCTCAGGCCTCTTGTGCCTGGGATTGCTCCCACATCACAGAAACCCTGGGTAAACATCCCCAGCTATCACCCACATCTGGGAAACTGGGGGAGATAAAAGAGTTCCGAAGAGCCAGGTCAGGTGTGAGTCAGCAAAAGCAGGAACAGGATCTGCCTCCCATGGGGAACCCACATTTCTCTCGCTCCACTGATCCCTTTGCTGCCCCTACTGCAGGGATTTCCCACACTCCTTCAGAGGAGTGAGAGTTTCAAACACATCTTGGGTTTAGGACTCCTCCTCCTCAGCCTTGGTGCTGTGTCAGAATTGCTGGAGCTCGCTCAGGAGGGGAAGAACAGCAAGGTGCTGCCTGTGGACACTGCCAGGAGTGGCTGTGCAGTGTGACTGCATGTGTGAC